GAAAGCTTTACTTTTATCCCCAGGTAACCACAAGCACAATCCAGTTCATCTTAATAAGGATCCTGACTTTAAGGGAGACGTGATAAAGCTGCCTAAAAGGAATAAATTTCAGTATTGAACAAGAAGTGAAGAACTCTGACTTCATCGGTCAGAGAACTCCACAGTCCAGGTCACTTGTGGGTAGGGGAATTCTCCTGAAACCTTCAAGGACATTACTGCTTGTTTTCTGGTATTCTGCACGTAGCTTGATGTACATGCACAAACAGATCTCGGTTTCCCCTAATGTCATGTAAAGGGTCCTAATTTCATTGCTCTGTCTGCAAACAGAAGGAAATGTGTTTCTTGAGAAGGATCTTCTTTGTCTAGACTTGTGACCACATGGATGGTCTTGCTGAAGCAACTCAATGGCATCAGGGTCACCCTTTGAACCTTTTGCTCACTGCAGCTGAATCCTCACTTCTTTCTGGTGCTGTTCTCTCAGTGTCTTGTGGGTATCATACTTTCTTTTTTCTTCTTTTTTTCCTGTCTTGGCTATCTCCCTAGGGCACAATTCCTGTCTCACTTTGTGCGTGCTTGGATTCACACCCTCCTTGAAAAAAGAAATCAAAAGGGAAAGCATAGCAGATAATACCTTATGTTTGTGTTATTTCCTCTTGACTTCTGCTTGGATTGTAATCCTGCTCAAACAACAGTGAAAAGCCTTGGAAGGGATCTGGTCCTACGGACTGTCTCCAAAACTGTCTTGACAATTTTACACTCTTGTTAATTTTAGATACAGTACTAATGTGCTTCTAGCACTCACCTTTGCCTACCATTCCACTCTACATGTTTACTTCAGAAACTCCGACTCCTTTCAGACTTGGACATCAGAATAACAATTTCACTTTTTCAGTGCTTTCTGGAAGACCTTTTTTTAGCTCTTTAGTATATGTGGTGTTTTATTCCCTCAAGAGGGAAAGGCTGCTTTGCATTCTTCTCTGTGCTAAATACTGAGAGATTTAAAACTCGTTCTTCCAGTGCAGGATTTCTTGGAACTACATGTGGGAAGCTGCATTGCTTTAGAAGGTGCAGTTTAAACCTTTGAAGAGGTAGTAGGTGAGAAACGGGTTCAGATCTGTCTGGAGGATATCTTCTGCCCTCCCAAACATCAGCAGCACTTCAGAGACTGCGTGGGCTCTCACCCAAGGCATGGCAGGCAGGGTGCTGCAGGAGGCTGGCTGACCAAGCCTGGGCATCCACCTTTGCTCAAGCAGTCTTTAAATTGAGCCTTGCTCATTTTTCAGCCTCACCTCTTTCAAGATCTGCTTTTCCCCTTCTTTCTCCCACAGAATCCTTATGAACTTTGTGTTACTGAGTTTGGATTTTGAGCTCTTCGGCTGCACTGCTCCTGGGTGTGTGATGCCTCTACCACAAATAATTGCTGGAAGAGCACCTGAAATACAAATGGTGCTGCAGATAATTATATGCCCATCGGGGTTGTTAAACTGATATAAATAAGGCAAAAATGTGAAAATGAAAAATGGAAATTAATTTTAGTTGCTTGGCTTTAAGATTTTCCCTAGTATTCCTTTGCGGTTGATTTGGTTGTACTTGCAATTCCTCTGATTGTAAATTATTTGATATAGTTCTGCCTCTTTTCTTTTGTTTTTCTTTTTCTGCAGTAGTGAAATTGCTTAATTCTTGGAGTTGGTGTATAGTGTTTAGGTGAGGTGACTGTAAAAAGACATGTTGTTGGAGGTGGACCCATTGGTTCCAGACCAAGAAATAAGTGACCCTAGGGAAGGGGTGGTTGACTGCTTTAGTAGGGAGTTTGGACTTCATGATCCCCAGAGGTCCCTTCCAACCCTGACAATTCTGTGACTGCATTAAGATATTTCATTTTAATGTCTGATACTCTTTTGGCTCTTATTATATTGACTGGCACCTTGAGGAATAGTAAAGGCAGTAATTTAAATGCTCTGGGCAGTTCTGGGGCCATTCCCCCTATAGGGGCATTCCACCCTGAGTGCTACAAGTGATGTGTACAAGGAGACTGCAGCAGAAGTGAGTTATGCATTTTTCTGCATGTTTATGTAGATTGTGTTGTGTGGGTGAGCGAGAAAGACTGCCCGTAATTCCTCTGATATAATTAATCCCTTATGCAAAGCAAATTCTTCCTTTTGCTTTTTTTCCCCTTTTCAACAATATGTTAGTTGTAGAAACACTCAGTTTGTAGTTAAAATGTAATTGTGTCATAGTTTATATTATGCTGTGCAAGATTAGATTAGCATACAAATTCTATAAAACAAGCAGTAGTATTGTTCTACTGTTCAGTTGCTGCAGCAAATGATTCTGGGGGCTGGATTTCATAGCTTAGGCAATTCAAGTGGGAGAATAGGGAGAATATATGTTCCACTGTGGCTTCCAGACCACAGTATAATCGGGATTTGGGGGAAAACAAAGTAGGTCATGGCACAAGCTTCTGCTGAAAAATGGCAGGCTTCTAAAGACAGCTGTAGTGTGACTGAAAGCACAAATGTGGACGTGGGATTAGAGTGAAAAGTGGGAGAGCAGTGATCTCTCCTACACCCCCATCTTCCTCGCCCTTACCAACCAAGAGCATCTCTTTTCTTTTTTGCCCTCTTTTCTTCTTTCCACGTTCCTGGTTAAAGAATTTCTTTTTGCTGGAGGAAAAAAAAATCAGAAGTTATACAAAATTGCCCAGATGCAGTTCTTCATAAACTTTGCCTAATGCTTTCCTGAAGGCCGTTCATTGAACTTTTGACCGCTGAAATGTCATCTGACAGTAATTTCCTATTATTCACCGCGTAAGGAAGTATTTTAAAGTATTTTAACTGCGTGTATGCTTTTTTGATGAGATCCTCATTTTTCATGTTACGAGAAAGGAATGGAGACTACGCATGAATCTATGGACATCTATTTCATACTCTCTTTCAGTCATTCACCAATCTGAAAGATACCACTTTCCATAAATCCTGTGCAAAGAGATTGTATGAAAAGAGTCTATCGATTATGATGTTTGATGTTTGAAAGAGTGTGGTTGGAGCCACCCTCTTGGCTGTCTCCTTTTCTTTGTTCAGTCACAGTTTTGTTTGGTAGTGACTGAAGGTTGGCCCTGATGGCTGTTTGAAATCTGATGTATTTGATCTTTTTCTCCGTCCAGTTTTGAGAAGAAAAGTGAAGGTGCTGGAGCAAAATTCTATATGCTGTGGACACACAGGGAAAGTTGCAGTTCCCTGTAGGAAAGGAAAACATTGTCCTGTGTCTCATTTCCCTTAGTGCCTTTGTAACTACTGATGAACACTGATTCCTTCCCAGTTTTGTCTTTCAAGAAACAGCTCTGAAGGAGAGACCAGCAAGGCTTAGCTGGAAGTGCTGTTAAGATACTCACCGAATGATGAAGAGGAAGAAAAATTTGGCTATTAATTGTTGGTTATTGAGTAATGAACAGGACAAGTAAATTGGAAAGTGAATTACTTTTAAAGTGAAATTAGTGTTCATTTGTGCTGTGTTTGATGCACTAAAAAAGTACAAGTGGGACAGGTGTATACCATGCCATATTCTAAAGATCAGGAGTCTCTTCTTGTAAAACCAATGTATGTAAGAACTGGGGATGGGTAGCACAGGACTAAACTGCTCGCAAAATCACAATTGCAGAACTCGTAGGAGTTGGGAGGAACCTCTGGAGGTACATCTAGTCCAGTCACTTGCTAAAGCAGGTTCCCTAGAGCAGGTCATGCAGGAAAGCGTCCAGGTGGGTTTTGAGTATTTCCAGAGGAGACTCCACAGTCTCTCTATGGCAGCCTGCCCCAGTGTTCTGTCACTCTTATAGGAAATAAGTTCTTTGTCGTATTCAGATTCACGGGAACTTCCCGTGTTCCAGTTTGTGCCCATCACCACTTGCCTGTCACTGGGCACCAATGAAGAGAGCCTGGCCCCATCCTCTTAACCATTGCCTTTTAGATATTTGTAAGTTTTGGTAAGATCACCTCTGTCTTCTCTTCTCTGGGCTGACTAGCCCCAGGTCTCTCAGCCTTTCCTCATGAGGGCGATGCTCCATGTCTTAAATCATCCTTGTAGATCTCCACTAGAACTCTTGAGAAGTTCCCCATCTTTCTTGAAGTAGGGAGCCCAGAATTGGACACAGTACACCAGGTGTGGCTTCACCAAGGCAGAGCAGAGAGAAGGATTGCTTCCCTTGACCTGCTGGCCACGCTCTTTTTAATGTACCCCAGGATGCCATTGGCCTTCTTGATCTTGGGGGCACACTGCTGGCTCATCACCAACCTATCATCCACCAGGGCACTCAGGTCCTTCTTTGCAGAGCTTCTTTCCAGCAGATCAACTCCCAACTTGCATGGAGGTATTCCTCCCAAGTGTAGGATTCTACGCTTGCCGTTATGGAACCTCTTCAACATCCGCAATCGTGCTGAAGGTATGCTCTGTCCCTTTATACAGGTCATTGATGAAGATGTTAAAGAACATCGCAAGAGCCTAAAACTCTACTGTCTCATCATTGCTGCAGCCGAGGCTGCCACCAACTTTCAAAATCTGAGAAGTGAATTGCTAACTTTGATCCAAGTTTTTGAACTGGATGTAATTAGAAAGCATATATCAAGTTCAGTTATGAATTCTAGCAGAATTCAACACAACAGAACTTATTTTCTGTTTTTAAATGACTAGATAGGTGAAATGGGACATACGTGGATGTGAGCAGGGTGGTCATTCATTGGGCATAAATTTAATATTCAATTTTTTTTTTTCTTGCAGCTGTGTTTGTTTTTCCACTCTTACATTGTTGCTCATCTTTACAGATTCTCTGCTCTGAATCAGCGTGTGTTTTGCTGAGCTGCTCTGTGGCACTGTTGCACTCTTACGGAAAGGAAAGAAGGGGAAAAAAGAAAACTTACCATTGTGTGGAATTGACTTGAATTTTCTGAAACTTTTTAATTCTGTTGGTAACGCAACTTTCTGCACACTAACATTTAAATCTTTTCCAGGCCGGGAACAGTTTCATGGCTTGGGATCGATGTACTGCAGAGGAGCAGCCGCCGTCATCCTGACATATGACGTGAACAGCCTGCAGAGCCTGGCGGAGCTGGAGGACAGGTTCCTGGCACTGACAGACAGCGCCAGTGCTGACTGCATCTTTGCTATCGTTGGGAATAAAGTGGACCTCAGCGATGACTGTGCTTCGCCACATGATGAAAACAGACCTGAGAAGGCTGTTGCTGGCTCCAGCTCAAAGGTGCAGAAGCAAGTCCGCCTGGAGGATGCGATTGCGCTCTATAAGAAGATATTGAAATACAAAATGCTGGATGAGAAGGATGTTCCAGCAGCTGAGAAAATGTGCTTCGAGACCAGTGCGAAAACAGGGTATAAGGTGGACTACCTCTTTGAAACTGTGTTTGACATGGTCGTACCAATAATCGTACGGCAGAAAGCTGAGGGGCCGTCGCAGACTGTAGACATTACTGACTACAAACCGGCCAAAAGGACAAAATCTGGGTGTTGTGCCTGAAAGTTATGTGGCAAAAAAAAGGGGAAGGGACTGCCCACTGTGGCAAACAGAGGAGTGTTTGCAGCACACCAGAAAGGAAAAAGCAAAGAATAAATAGACTGTAATGGCTTACATGGAAGAAAAAAACCAACCAAAACCAACCCCTAAACAAAACAGAAAAAACACCATGGAGTCTCCTGAGCATTAAATGTTTCTGAGAAACTCTGTGTATGAGAATGGGAGTGAAATGATGGAGGATGTGCCGGTTTCCAAGGGCTCTGAAGGCAACTTGTGTTGGTACATTTGATAGTGACAATCATTTGAACAGTTTAGAAGAAGTCTTATTTTTAATGACTCGCCACTTCATGTTACGTGTAAACGATCTATTTGTATAATCTATGCAGCTTTCAAATGGTTATCATCTTTTCCCTTGTGATTCTGACTTTGGAAGATAAAATGCATGGTACCTTTTTTATTCTTAAAAAAAAAAAAAAAGAAAATCCAGGTATAATTTATGTATGTAGCTAATAAAGAAATTACTGTCAGGTCCGGCATTGTAAGATTCTGAAGCTGTGCTATTAAAATCACTGTGAATATGTACTGTTAATATGGAGGCTTTGTTACTGTGAATTCTAATGTGGGCTTTTTTGTCTCCTGTAGCTCTTTCTTGTGGCTAAAGCAGGAGGAATAGGAAAAGAAACTCCCTTTGTACAACAGAAAGCACACTAAGGAGTGCTGATGAGGTGCATGGCATCTCTTCTGCCTGCAGTAAAGAGGAGGGGCTCACGCTTCATACTGCTCCTAGAGCTTTCCAACCAGTGTCCCACACAGACACTGAATACTACGCATATTTCCAGTTCTGCAGGTTCTTCTGCAGGGTCTCCTTCATCTTCCTAAAGATGCTTCTGGCATGGTTTCTCAAAACTAGAAAGTTAGCTGTTTATATGCGTTGTCGTCTCTCCAGGTCATGGTTGTTTGGTACACAGGGAGACCGTTCCCAGATAAATGAGGAACTATATTGTTACTGAGTATATAAACATTTTTTTACCAATGTGTCCTCTTGAGCAGCTTAGCTCTTTCGCATCAGGGTGAAGGTCAAAATAGCTTTATTTCCTTGTTGCAAGTGTATTGCAGCATACTTGGTCTTGTTTGTGACCAAAGTGGTCTGTGAAAGGTCTGCCACTGGCTTTGCTGCATTCATTTAGATATTTTTACTGAAAGGGATGGAACAGGACACATTCTTTGCCCACAGGGCTACACTTGTGGAACGTACTGTTTATGGTTTTGCTTCATCAACCATGGGGGACAAGGGAGTGCACAGCAGGACCCAGGAGACCCAGCAGTACATGGAGGCTAGTGGTAAGACCTTAGGAGGGAACCTGGGTTGTTCAGTGTGCGTGCTGGCCCCATTTCTTCGCTGCTTTCTGAAGTCGAATTCAAGCAAAACTTGAAGGCTTATGGGACTTGATGTAGGTTTTCTTTTTTTTTAAAATTAGTAACTTAAGCTATGCTACAGCTGGGCTCCCTTTGACAGCACAGTGTTGATGCACACGTGTCCTACTTTTTCTCATCTTAATACCCTCCCCAGCTAACATGTGGTCATGTAGAAAAAAGCAACTGCTTCAGAAAGGTGAAACGGTGCAGGAGAGCTGCTGTCCTGACATGATTTGGGGTTCTGCAGTTGCAGTGAGCCCGGGGATGCCACCAGCATGGGGGGTGCAGTGGGTGCCATTGCCTGTGGTGATGGGCAGAAGCTGCACAGGGGGATTTTTGACACCAGGCAAGTAGAGGCTGAGCTCCCCAGTCAGTCAAAATTCCAATCCCCTGAGTGCTCAGGCAGTACATGGCTGTGCCCGTTGGGCATGTCTTGGCTTTGTCCCTCCTTAATGCCAGCTCTTCTGTGTCCTGCCAAGTGCGGTGTATTACCCTGCCTTCCCAAAGCTGCTTTTCTCATTAACGATTCCAGTGCACGGTCTTGACTCAGGGCTCTCATGTCTGTGCGTGGATATGCTTCTGCATGAACATTGCCAGTTTTGTATAAAGTTCTGCCTGCCCTGTTGCAGACAAGAAAACTCATTTTCCAAGTACTTATTGTTCCCTCTTTTCCACATTCTGTTTGTCTAGATTATATGGAGCATGCGGACAGCAAAGCAGATGCTATTTTTGGTGACACCAGATGAACATGAGCCATGGGCCTGCCTGTACCAGCTGGGCCAGGCTGCACCCGAGAGGTAGGTCTGGATGGGGCAGGCAATGGTGGGTCTGCAGCCAAGGCTGGGCTGTGCCTGCCTGCTTTGGCTTGACCATGCCCTTCTCCATGTTACAGTGGAAAGCCCAACAGTATTCAAACTGAAAGTAGAGTGAGTGAAAGTAGTGCTGGAGCAAGGCAGGGGTAGGGCTGCAGTCTGTTGCCCAGATAAGTTGCAGCCAAACCCATAAAGGGGTGCGCATGCACCCTGTCTGCTGGCAGCAATTGGATACCGCCTGCTTCAGGGGCATGCCTGCTGCTGTGCCTTGCTGCTGTTCTATTTCCAGCTGCCTTGGACAAGTCCAGTCATGCAGCGTGTACTTGGCAGAGTTGGTTGATACAGTGAGAAAAACATTGGTGTCACCTGGTCAAGTTGCATTGATTTTACTACGGCTGTGCTGGTGCAGCAGTGCACCGCTGCCTCAGGAGGGGGACGTAGCCTTGCTGACCTTTCTCCAGACTCAGCAGCATGCTCCACTTCAGGGTATTTTCAAACAGCAGAAGCTTAAGAAACAAAAGTGCTATGTTTAGAACCCTAAGTTGGTAAACGGTAAGTGCGTGGATCTGAAGCACATGACATACACAAACGAAATATGAAACTTCGCACGTGCATGGCATGTTTTTTTTTCCCCCTCCTTGTTTCTTGACCCATGCCCTCATTTTGACTCATACTATTCTGGTGTACAGTGCTGAGCAAACGGCTTGCGAGTCAGAAACGAGAGAGGAAATGCAACTTTTGGAGAAGGACCCATCAGCTGAATTCCTCAAAATGAACTAGCTGCAAAAGAAGATTAGGCAATGCATCAGTCATTGAAGTCTTGAATACTTACTTAGCTGTTGCTGCTGACACAATAGTTTTTATGGGTTTGTATAACCTCAGCTCGAATTCTCTTAAAACATTTCAGCTGCTGCATTGCAGGCATTGCAAACTGTGAAAATCCCCAGTGATGTAATGTTCAGTTGTCCCACAACTGTGGCTGTCTGGCAAGATCTGGAAGAGGCAAATTGATGACTCTCAGGTGTTTGTCACTGCTGTGTGCAATCTGAAAGGATGGGCAAATGTGGAATAGATTTGGCTGATGCAGACGGCAGCGTTTGCAATTCTAGGGATTTAGTTTAGCTGAAAGAAATAGTGGCAGATTTGGTCTGTTTGGAGGCTGCCATTCATCGCTCCAGTGTGATCAGATTTCAAGCACAGGGAAATTCTCCATTTGTGGATCTGTGTAATTACATGCACAACTAATGTTGGCCAGAAACTGTGCTGGCTGAGAACTTCATCTTCACTTCCACTTTACATTTTTGCAGAGGTAACACTTGGCGAAGTTGGTCAGTGTTGGTTTCCTGGATGTTGGGGAACATGAATAATACTTAGCTTTAATTTTCCTCATCACCATTTATTGACTTAAATTCCCCTTTGTGACAACAGGTGAAATACCACCACGTCAGCCTAAATGAGCAGCTCCAGAACTGCAGGTTTCCTCTTGAAAGGATTTAAGTGCCTCAAAGTGTATTCCTGGTTGAAGAGTTTGAATTTCAGGAAGGCTCTTTATGGCAGTGCCTCTTTCTTTTTATTGCCTTAGATGCAAAGCAATTCAAAAGGGCTGTCCATACGCATTTTATAGGAAAACAACAACAACAAAACCTGTTAAAAAATTGAAATAATCAACACATAGAGGTGTATAAAAAAGCCATTTATTTATGACACAGTGAGGATGGAATGTAATTACGAAAGCCAATAAGCACCCGAAGCAGGAGTGAACCAGTGACTTTGAAATCAGCAATTATTTTTCTCTTTGATTTCAGTTTTTGGTGTCTGGGAATGTATAACCAGACTTTGCCAGGAGGAAGAGAATAATTTGCAACTGATTCTTCCCCCCCCCCTCTCCTGCAGCAGTGACAGACAATTTTGGATTAAATTGCTTCCTTCTTCAGAAGGGAAGAACTGGCTATTTAGGGCATTTCCCAAACCTGGTGTGCAGTGACACAGTTCTTCATGGGAAGAGATGGTGCCAAATAAATGCCCTGCTTCCTTCCCCTTTGTTTTCACAAGGATGGGCTCCAGCTTTGGAGGTGATGTGGCATCAAGCAATAAGCTGACCTGGCCTCTCCTACATGTGACTGCTGCTGCAATTCAAAACCAGTTGGTGGTTTTAGGGAGGTTGGTGGCACTGCATGTGGCAGGGGGGTTGGAAATTCATGATCCTTGAGGTCCCTTCCAACCCTAGCCATTCTGTGATTCTGTGATCACTGAGTCCAACTCCTGGCTCCATTGGGGAGCACCCAACATTCAAAAGCTATGTCTGAGAGCAGTGTCTGGAGCACATCTAGAAAAAAATGGCCAGACTTGTAAAACAATATGCTGATGATTACTGTATAGTCTCCTAAACAACATAAGAAGAGAGAGCATTTTGTGGTCACTCAATTGTGGGCTTCTCTATGTCTAGTGACAAAGTGCTAGGAAATTGTGAGACTTAAAAAAAACCCACAAATACAATAAAAAGCTGATTGCTCTGAGTGTGTTTGAGATGCCTGACCATAAAATAGTCATGGATTTTAATGCTGGATGTAAGCACCTTCCTCTGTATGGTGTCAAAATTTTGCAAGGCTTTAACACTCAGCGTGATCACGATATGTTAATTGTAGCTGTTAGTGTTTAGTGTCGTGACAAATACCATAATAGAAGAGATGTATATAGTATCTTAAAGTAAATGCAGTGGGTATCTGACCACGGTAAGCTTTTATTTCTGAAGTTTTTTGTGCTTCAAAGGTGTGGGTATTTGCAACATCGGTTAGACTAGCAAAAACATATATATGTACTGTATAACAGGAGAACACAGCACCAGGTCTGTGTGTTAATTTGTGTTACGCTTGTTTTGCTTTTATACACTTTTAAAAATTATCTTTCCGTTCCGCTTTTGAGGTAATAAGTTAAAAAAGCACCAACATGATTTATTCAAATGTCTAAACATCCTAGAAGGTTTCACTGTACAAGTACTAGATGGTAAGCAGGTTCCTGATACTATGAAAGGCTTCTATAAATTCTTCATACAGACTTGACATCTGCTGATATGGCTTCGGATGAGTCCTGCCTTGAGTGTATCTGCCGAAGGCTTGCTTTGGAAGGGCTGGTCAATCGTAGTGAGCCAGAAGCTGTACTTATTGGCAAAGTAATGACAGGTTCCGCGTGCCCCATTGCACTCGATGAAAGGAGTAGCCCTGAAATCTTCCAGGCAGCTCCCAGGAGACACCAGCGACTGTCCTCCACCTTCATCACCGGCCGCAGTGTGCTAAAAGAGACAAGGAGGGCAGCGTTCAGAGCACAACCTCAGGCAATGCCATCAACAAATTATGCGTGGGAAGACAGGAAAAGCACTAGAAGTTC